ACCTAAGTCGTCTTGGACAAGAGGACTGTCTGTCGTTGGTTTACAAGTGTGCATTCAAGGAAGGGAAAATGGAGTTGTATCCAAATTTGGTTGGAATCGGGAAAGAAATAGTTGCGAAATGCAAGCAAGTTCCTCTGGCAGTGATTAACTTGGGGACTCAACTGTATGGTAAGATTGATGAAACAGAGTGGAAATCGGTGAGAGACAGTGAGAAGTGGGAAGATGAGGGAGATGGTATTTTACCTGCCTTGAAAATAAGCTATCAAAGACTGCCGACTCACTTGAAAAGATGCTTTCTTTATTGTTCCGTTTTTCCGAAAGATTACCAATTCCAAGATCTCATATTGGTGCCATTTTGGATGGCACATGGGCTCATTCTTCAATCAGCGAATCCAAATGAGAACTTGGAAGATGTTGGCTTGCGTTATGTGCGCGAGTTGATCTCAAGATGTTTCTTCCAAGATTATGAGGATGATATTTTTATAGCTTCCTTTAAAATGCATGATTTAATGCATGATCTTGCATCATCATTGGCTCAAAATGAGTTTTCAATCATAAGCTCTCAAAACCGCCAAATTTCCAAAACGACCCGTCATTTATCAGTCCTTGACTCTAATTCATTTTTTCATAAAACTCTCCCCAAGTACCCAAACAACTTCCATCAAGTGCGGTCAATAGTCTTTGCAGATACTATAGTGGGGCCTACATGCAAAACAGAATTTGAGAAATGTTTGTCAGAATTCAAGCATTTGCGGTCTTTGCAATTAATGGATGATTCTGAACTTGAGGCTTTTCCGGAGAGGATTGGCGCCTTGAAACATTTGAGATATCTCGATTTTTTTAACAACGAAAAAATAAAAAGACTCCCAAAATCAATTTTCAAATTGCAAAACTTGCAAACTCTGGTTACAGGTAGAGGATTAGAAGAGCTTCCCAAGGATGTGAGGTACATGATCAGCCTTAGATTTTTATTTCTAGTAACTAAGCAGAAGCGGTTGCCAGAAGGAGGGATTGGGTGTTTGGAGTGTCTTCAAGCTTTATTCATTGTTGAGTGTGCAAATCTACAAAATTTGTGCGAAGATATGCAAGGTCTTAAAAGTCTTCGAAAATTGTTTATTCTTCGTTGTGATAGCTTGATTTCTCTGCCAAGAAGCATAAAATGCCTAACTACTCTGGAAGAATTATGTATTGGTAACTGTGCAAAGCTTGATTTGATGATAACAGAAAAAAAGAATGAGGAAATAATTCAACGTATTTCCCTTTCCCTTCGTATTGTAATGTTTGCAGTGTTACCAGCAACTCGTGCCTTACCAGAACAGCTTTTTCAAGGATCTGCAGAATCTTTACAAACATTTATCATCATAGGCTGTCCCAACATTGGAGAAATGCCAGATTGCATCCGCAATTTAAAAAAACTTCAAAATCTTGAGATTAGTTATTGTCCAAGATTGAACAAAAGGTGCCGAAAGGAAACAGGAGAAGATTGGCCCAAGATCGCACATATCCCTAAAATCAAGGTTGACGGTGATGACAGCGGTGAAGAGACATCTCATTCAGGTAGCAGCAGCAAACCATATTTAAATCTATCATATTTAGTTGTACATTTTTATCCATTCTTCAATTCCTTTTTTCGTTTAAATTATTTTCCCTGAAAACAATATTAGCTTTGAAAAAAAAAAAAACTGACAAAATCTCTTCAAAATCTTGAGATCAGTGATTGTCCAAGATTGAACAAAAGGTGCCGAAAGGAAACAGGAGAAGATTGGCCCAAGATCGCACATATCCCTAAAATCAAGGTTGACGGTGATGACAGCGGTGAAGAGACATCTCATTCAGGTAGCAGCAGCAAACCATATTTAAATCTATCATATTTAGTTGTACATTTTTATCCATTCTTCAATTCCTTTTTTCGTTTAAATTATTTTCCCTGAAAACAATATTAGCTTTGAAAAAAAAAAAACTGACAAAACCTCGTGTTTTTGGAGAGGCAGGTTCAAGTGGAACTCCATCAGCAAGAGAAGAAGACAAGGTATGTCATGATAAAATGCAAAGTTGACTAATTCATTCAGCAATTTAAATTTCTTTGAACTTAATACATCATTTTTAAATTCTATGTTTGTCTAATTTTTTTCAGCTTTCATCGGGGTTTCTGATCCCAAATTTTTACCACTTGGCCACCACTTAAATGG